TTAAACTTATTAAAACTGCTTTTATATACACACAGTTACAAAGGCACAATACTTGGGTCAGTAAGGTTAATATCCAGGTTGCTAAAGAACTCTGTTAGGGAGGCAAAGAGCAGCAACTTCTTGTACCGACTGAATTCCCCTTAGAAACTGATCAGGCAGCTGCCAGTCTGCACAGCATAAATCTATTCCCTGCAAGCCACAAGGTGGAGATCTCTGGCAAAGAAGGGTCCAAGGGAAGGCTTTTACCCAGCCTAACGTTACTATGTTACTATTAACACTTTGAGCCATTGCATCAAGCCAATTTTTCTGTTTGTTTTTAAAGTTTGATAGAAATGTCACTAGTGGAAAAATTAAGTAAAGAGCACTGGTTAGCCACAGAACTGGACACACCTGGCTGCAACCCCACCAAAAGCAACTGACTTCATTAGGACTAGGGACAGCAGAGTAAAATTTATATCTGAAATATGCCTGCACCAGTAGAATTTGCTGAGGCCACGGGCTCTCTGTGTGTTTTTACAGCTGTGTCAAGTTTTTGTTTCTGACTCTTGCCGACATTCAGGAGTGCTGAAGGAGCTCAGGCTAACAGGTCTCAAAACTTTGTAGCTGAGATTTAGATCTCAGCAATTTTAACAACCAGGTTTTGAAATAATACAAACTCCATTTGGAGTCGGAGCTGATGTAAATTAGTAGTTAAAATGCCTTACATTCTACCATTTTCAGCTCCAATGAACTTGTATATTTAAGAGCAGATGGCATAGTTTAATAAACCATTGATATCAATTCAGGAATCACAGAACGGCAAGGCTTGGAAGGGACCACGGGAGATCCATTTTCTGCATCGAGCATTGGAATTGCTGCTAGATAGGGAAATGAGCTGAAGAACTGCCGCTTCGTTAAGTTTCGAACAAGTTAAACTAATTGCATCCAACTAGCAACGTCCTACAGGTGCTCTGGCACCTATACCACAATACAGGAACATATGAATCAGCATTAAATATCAACCTGTGATACCCTGCATGAGAGAAAAAGCAGGGAGTGGCATTTCCTAACCTCTAGGAGCTATGCAGATGATAACTTGGTGCCCTAAAAGTATTCAGTAAAGTTTTTCTTCTTTTAACTTACTTCTGAGAAATGCTCAGGTTCTGAAATTAGAAAGCATCAACAGAAGAACATTAATGTCATCTTTTTATCTACTCTTCTTATCTTGATATATTTAACTATTGTCTTTTGGAGGTAGAATATATACTGATTGCAGAACTAAATTACCTGAAAATAGATAGCTGTTACACACATTCCTCAATCAGCTCATAAACCCTTCATCATTACCTCAGCTTCATTTTAAAGGAACCATTAGGGATAAATACATCAAGATTAATGAGTAGAGCCTACCAACTAGGGTAACCACCCTTTACTAATTTATCACTTAAAACTCCTTGCAATTGCTAAAGCTGAGATGTGAGATGGGGCTCAATCAGGATACATCTACCTGAAGGGGAGGAAAGTAAGTGAAAAAGAGTGAACAAGCATGGAAGAGGCAGGAACTACCCATGTGGTATATTAAGCTAGGGTCACTAGCACTGAGGAAGGAAACTAAAGCACCGATAAGGAGCAAGGGAACAGCTAACCTCAGCAAACATCAATGCACAAATTATTTTTGTCTAACATACAATAAATACTACCAGAAGAGACTAAAAGGTTCATTCATCTTGACAAAATAATGACTGAAAGATTATCAATAATTAAAAGATGAAAGAAAAAAAAAATCCACTAAAAGATTATGAAAGCCCTATGCCTTCACAAACTCTTTGGGGAAGAGAACAGTCCTAATTTCAAAGTTTACATTCTAGGAGAGTTCACTGTGCTTTCTTACACACCCTTAGTGCCTGGTCTAGTTAGCTGTTACCTCAAGAGTTCACATTCTCTCACAAGGAGTCTCATTAAAATCAATGGGCCTCTGTGCAGCTAAGCTATATTAAATATACACACAGATGTAACTGTTTTGGAGATCAAGCCTTTAAATGTGTACATACTTCGTTTAAGCATCAGCTATTGCCACATAAAAGCTATGTTAACACTAGGTTACAGTCAAAAGTATATTATAGGAATCACATTATTGCAAACTAAGCATGCTCAGTATTTCATTGCACAATCATTACAGACAAAGACTGAGAAATTTAAATTCAAGGATAAACTGCAAAGATGCCTAACCTGCCAAGGCAGAGAATGAATGGCATTCAAACAACTTCAGATCTCCTCACAGTTACATCACACAGCGACCATACCAGTATAATATACATGTATTGACATTTGGGGTTCCAGATTGGATGAAAACAGAAGGACACTGGTGGGGTTTTTACACTTTGGGGAATTCTGGGGAGCAGTAGAATAGTTTAGTTTGCAGAAATGGAAACCCTGTGCTTCCCTTTACAAAGAAGTGACTGTAAGCACTACCTTTTTTTCCCTTAAAGTTTAAATAAACTAAAGTAGATAAAAAACCCTGAATACAGGTCTAACTTACACCATGCTTCACTTCTGAGTTCTGCATGCTTGTAAGGGTGGGACGCAGCTAGCTTTGCTTCTCTTTACTGTTGCATAACATCCTGCAAGGAAAACTACACAATGACATTTGAGGTTAGTTCATAAGGCAAAATTAGGGTCAAAAGGAACAGAGAAATAAGTTTCTGTTCCAAACCAGCATTCTCTCTGTGCACAGACGGAATCAAAAGATTCCTGAAGAGATTTTGGGAGGCTTTGGGAGGTGGGGTGTTTGGTTGGGTTTCTGTTTTGTTTTGGTTTTGCTTTTCAAGAAGGGCAGCCTTAAATTTACACCAGGAAGGAAGATCTGAGCTGTCTCCAATTCCTGCAGAAAGCAGAACCAACCACTGATATGACATAGAAGGCATAGGATAAGGACAAAAACGCATAAGCCATTTCATTCCATCTTTTTCTCTGGTACTATTATCTAACTTATCCAGGCTCACTCACGCTGCCTTATGGCACCTGACCAGGAAAGCAGAGATTCCCGTACTGGAATTTATGTAAACCTGGTAATGTAGCAAGAAATTCTAAAATGCCTGAATTTAGATTTAATCCAAAAGATGATTAAGTGGATGACTTGTCTTTAACAGCAAGCTGTAACATTGTACGGCAATGAAATTCCCAACGGCTAGGAAAAGAAAGCCATTGCTGACAGAATAACTGAAGTTACACCAAAATCAACACTTTCTAAAACCACATACAAAATAAAAGATAGAGAGAAACTTCTTGAATTACTATTGTGATTGCATACCAAATCCCCTAACTCACAGGTTGTCACCAATAGGAAAACCCTAGGAGCCTCTCCCTTGGTTATTTGGCTGACAACTAAGACTTAACAATATGCCATTATTGCTATATGAACACTGTCACCTCTCTAACAGTGATTTATTTTAATCACAGACAAACCTCTTCTAGACAAACCTCTTCTCTTTTTCCACAACACAGGAGATCCTGTTCTCCCATGAGAAGTGCCCTGAACATAGGCATCCTCGACTGTATCGGGTCACCTGTGACCACTGTGATACTGAGGCGGGATACTTCCATTGCTTCTGCACCGCCTTCTCTGAAGGCTATCACCAACACAAGGCTGGAGAAACCACTACAGACTTTAAGGCCAGAAATCATAGAATCACAGAATCATTTACGTTGGAAAAGCCCTTTTAGCTTGCCAAGCCCAACCAGTCCCCTAACCCTGCCATCCCACCACTAAACCCTGTCCCTAAGTACCTTGTCTGCCCAACTTTTAAATACCCCCAGGGATGGGGACTTGACCCCTTCCCTGGGCACCCCCTTCCAGTGCTTGACAACTGTCCTGGTTTCGGCTGGGATAGAGCTAATTTTCTTCATAGTAGCTAGCATAGTGCTGTGTTTTGGATTTAGTACCAGAAGAATGTTGATAACACACTGATGTTTTCAGCTGTTGCCAAGTAGTGCTCAGACTACTCAAGGACTTTTTGAGCTTTTCCTGCTCGCCCAGGTGCATAACAAGCTGGGAGTACAGCACAGCTAGCACAGCTAACCCAAACTGACCAAAGAGCTATTCCATACCATATAACATCATGCTTGGGG